TTCCGACCAGTCATCAAGGAGAAAACTGAACAACTCAGTGATAGTGGTTGGGAAATCTTTTATATACTGACTCACCCGCTCAAAGATACCAAACTTCCGGAGCGCTTCACAACAGGCGATCAAGTATAGTGGAGAAGCGCTCTTTGATAGCAAGACCTCCATTTGATTTCCTAGCAGAGAGTCGTCATAGGTTGTCAACTTTTTGTTGAATCTTGCCAAAGTAGCAGAAACCATTCCTTCCAGATCATCGTCAGACATTTGCAGAACTGGGGTCAGCACAGCATCAGGACACGCTTCTTGTGCATTATCAAAGGTTCCGTTTTCCTTGTTAAGAGTGGAGATCATGCACCTAACATTCGACGTTGTCTCCTTGCGAGGTAACCACCACATGTCCCACGCCTTCATTCCTTCATGAAACTGATTAACAGCATCTACAACTATCAGGAACCTTTTGTTAGGGTATTTCTCAGCGGTGGCAGTCAAGAAGTTGTGGTGCTCGGCTCTCAGATCAGACGCAGATTGAGGGGGATCCGAGGAAATGTTTATTTCACCGTTGCTCCTCCTAAAATCTCTTAAGGCCCACTGCAACCTCCTCAGCATCTGTTCTAGAACATTAGAGCCAGGGCAGGAATCTACCACGTGGATAAAAACAAAGTTGCCACTTTCACGACTGGTCTTGGTAACTTCATAGGTAACAGCAGCAAGCAGACCCGATTTACCGCAACCTGGTTCTCCGTGAAGGATCATAACATTTCTATCATCACTTGAGCTTTTACAGTGGACAGTGCAGACTTCCACTAATGATGTTCTTCCAACAAATGTCGAGGCCTTTAATCGTATCGCATTTTCATGCTGTACCGTCTCCATCTGGAAATCATTGATGCTAGAGGAATCAGACTTGAAGTTCTCTTGAATAGCTTCAATCAAATCCTTCTCAACCTGGTCCTCAAATGCCTCTAAAGATGAAGTGTAACCCACCCCAAAACTTTTAGCACCCTCTCTTTTGCAGGTGAACTTAGCACCACCATGTTCGTAACCGACCTCAAACTCGTTCCATTTCACATGGGGGATGTCTTGAAGATACTTGTTAAGATTTGTCAGATCATTAGAAAATTTAAGAGCTTCTTCCGTTTTACTGTACTGGTATTTGGAATCCTCAGGTATCTCCTCGTCAGCCTCTTTGTATTCGAAATCAAACACCCACCTCATATTCTTCTCGATATACTGTTCCTCCAGGGGACCTTCGTCAATATTCCGTTGGTAGAAAAACACGGTAGGTGAGGACAGCATTTTGGATGGATTTTGGACAGCATGGATGCATTCTAAAGACGTTATACTCACTCCAGTTCTACCGGAACTAGCAAACTCATCAATCCATTTGAAGAGGTCAGGATTCTCAAACCCATGACTAGGCATCATGTCATTCTGAACCCAGCCATATCGCGAGGTCCTCAGACCCAGGAACCATGGGGTCTGCTGTGGAGTTAACCTGCACTTATCAACCTGGTTCAGACACGTCTTCTGGATTGTGTGGCAATCTTTGCTCTCCTCCGCCAGGACTCCCCACCTCAGATCCACTGGTACTATCCGGATAAACCTATCTGCCATTTTACGGTTAATACTCGGTATTACCCGTTTAACTAACACATCTCGTTCTGCCTGGGTGTCCACGAATGTGGATGATATGAACAGACGGATTTCGACCCAGTTTCCCACTTCTTGTGCCATTGGTTCTTCGGTTTGGCTTTTTGTCTTGGTTACCGTTTGCCTCAGCCATTCTTCCAGACTCCCCATCTCCTGGGTTATATGTGGAGCTGAAGTTACTGATAGTGATTTACACAACATTGTCAGATATTCCGGGGTTATTAATCCGGTCACTGCTCCAGAGGTACTACCTTTGCAGACTTACACACATTTTAAGTAATTGCTGGTCTCATGCCACAATGAACCACATCAAATCAAGTAACGTACTGAGCAAACAAACAGAGTGCCCCGAATGAAGTAATGATCACCGTGTCAGATCGGTAAACAAAATCTGATCATGAATTACCAACTAGGAAGTAGCATTCGGTAAATAATATATGTAATATCCGGATAGGAAAATTATTTCAGGGTCGCATTATTTTGATGTTTCTGATGAAAATTTTTGATGATTCCGTGTATGTGCTTTTTAAATAATATACTTCACAAATACAATGATAAGATAATACGCTGTAACGTAGCTAGCCGCGTGGGTACCGGAGTGGGTAGCGCGTGGGTAGCGCGTGGGTACCAGAGTGGGTAGCGCGTTGGTAGCGCGTGGGTACCGGAGTGGGTAGCGCGTGGGTAGCGCGTGGGTACCGGAGTACAGTGGGCACCGCGTGGGTACCGGAGTGGGTACCGCGTGGGTACCGGAGTGGGTACCGCGTGGGTACCGCGTGGGTACCGCGTGGGTACCGGAGTGGGTACCGAGAGAGTACCGCGTGGGTACTGCGTGGGTACCGGAGTCCTCCTCCTCGCCCTTGAAAAATTTTGGCAAAATAGGGACAATCAACGTGATTTGAGCGAATTTAAAACAGTAAAAACGAACAAGGCAAAATACCTAGGAGTTCACTACTCACTAGTACTACCACCTAGTTTAATGTCATTAGGAGTGGTGAAAGACACTGTTTTGTATTACATTATAATCTAGAGTTTTAATGGCGATTAAATTATATGATATACCGCGAGGAAGTATTTCCTGGAGAGATTACCCAGCTGGGTTTGTTAGAGTGAGCATTATGTTAAGCTACTTACACGGTATAATTAATATGTATAAGTAATTTAGGCTGTAGCAAACGATGTGAAAAATGCGAATGCACGAATTAGAGATTTTATCCAAACAAATTGGCAGAGTGGAAAAAGAATGCAAGCGATGTGAAGAATGCACGAACTAAAGATTTGATCTAAACACATTTTGACTTACATTGCACAAAATTGTGCTCCGAAATAAGTATAAACGTGTTATTACTCGATTAGTCTATATAACTTTGTTTTGCACGGCGATCAGTGGATTATTGGCAGGAATATCAAAATACGAACAGTCCCTCCTCCTCATTCTTAGGAGGAAATATTTACAAAATGAGGCACAAATAAAGTAGCTACTCAGCACAAGTACACGGTTACAAGCAGAAGGGAAGTGTCTAGAAACAACACTATATTATCTCTTCCTGTACCAGGGTACCAGGGTAACCTGCTGTAACGGCGAGAATGATATACTGTTGGTGTTCGTGTTATTATTGCAGTGGCGGATGTTGGTTGGATGACTACTACCACATGCTGCATAAATAAATAAAACTACAAATAAACCTATAAGTAAAACTACAAATCAGAATCATCGACCACCGTTCAGTATAGCATCGACAAAAATTTAAGTCTGAGGCATGGTTTATATCACAAATAACTTACTAATTTATATATAAGTCGTTTATGATAAACGCTATGCCCCAACTACTACAATACAAAATACAGTTCATCGAGCAATTATCAGTTTAAGGCCGTGTGTGAAGGGTCTGCACGTTTAAAAAGTATTTTTTAAACGTTCTTTTGTTTCAAAGCAAAGATTATCATTTAATTAGGTAATAAAAAGGTGCACATTTTTTTGCAATTATGTATGTCCAAATTATAGTTATACTGTAGGGAAATAAGATCCAGTTCGATAAGTGGCTTATTATATTATACTCATACTAATACTCATACATTGGTACAATGTAGTGTACCTCATGAAAATATGATACTATATTATGAGTATAGTGTATAATATAAATAATCTTAATATGTTAAAACCTCATCTGGTGACGTTCATACATTTTGATTTTCAAATTAGGTTGTCATTCACGAAATTAAATTCGATTTGTACAAAATAAATAAAGGGCGGATTGAAACCAGTTCGTAAAAATCCCGCTATAGTATAACTGAATTTAACTGTGGCCGAACCTTTATAAAAAAGGATCCTTTATAGATCACCCTGTATGCAGAATGACTGTTTGAAAACACGACCCTAACCCTAACATAACCCTAACCCCAACAGTTACACTGATATTACCGATAAGAGCTGGTTTGTACAGCCCTAATGCATAAGTTATTTTAGAAGTGAGAGCTGAACAATACCAGTACAGCTTTACAGGAGGTAGGTACAATGTACAAACTGTATTTGGTGGCCCAATGACCATCAGGTTTAGTCCTTGGTGGGAACCTATCCTTAATCTTACAGTTACAGTTACACGGGTGTGCAATGTCATAATTCTGAATTCTAAGACCAGAAGTTTTGCTTTTTTACTCTGTCGTTGATCTAGAGAGACCGCGTTAAGGCTGTAATTTTGGACGAACGATTTATAAAGTACAGAGATTGCAATACTCACGTTTAGCGTGGCTCGATTTAGGAAGGCAGATTGTACTAAACCAATACATACAAGAACAATGCAGCTTGTTATAAACCAATACATGCAAGAACAATGCACTCACATGGAAATAAAATGAAACATGCGTGTTTGAGGGCTGTAAGATACAGGTTTAACTTTAATGGTTAAATATCAATATTGCTAATACTAATAGTAAAATATTAATTATCGCGATCAAAAACGCAATTAACGAGTAATCAAATAATTAAATTCATCGGCTTATTCTTGGTCCCAAAGTGAAGATCATGTCAAGCTGGATAACCTCCTCATTTTCTTAAAATCCTGACACGTCACGTGTGCTGGTACCTGGTCTGCCCCCCCCCCCCTCCCCCCATAATTATCTCACGTCGCAATCTTCATTTTAGTTAGTGAAAGCCATGATATGGCCGTGCACTTGTGCGCAGACAGGCAGACGGACCTATTATTAATAGGTGCTTAGCATTGCGTACAGAGAGTAGGCCCTCCGAGACTACGTTTCCCGGGCTAGTTCGAACCTACAATTTGAAAATAACTTACGTTTTCTTCAAATTAGGATTTTGATTTGATTTAGTTTAGTTGTGGATAAATATTGAGACACGAATATAAAATTGCTGATTAAAACGAATTTATAAACAAAACATGACAAATTTAAAAACAAAAAAGGACAAAACTAATTATAACTACCGAAAAGGAAAGAAAACAATTTATTCAAAGAAAAAAAAAGTTCTTACGATGTTCATAAAACGCGGGAGGCTCCAAAGAATGAACAAGTGGCAGTAAGTAATACTATAATAGATTGGGCGACATCTGTCCGACAGCGACATCTGTCCGACAGCCGAATTAGGGATTTCGGACAGATGTCGCTGTCGGATAGGAGTCGTGTTACCTTATAATAGTAGCAAACCAACTCGGTGGTGAAATATTTTAAAATTAAGCAATAACTCGCTTAGAGCAAATTAAAATCAGCAATAAGAAACATACTAAAAAACTATTTTTCATTTTTTAAACAAGGCATGCATATAATGCTATTTCTTTATTATTGTGTATTGACAGCGAAGTAAAAACATGCAATCATAACGGTATTTATACTACTAGCATACCGACAGTTTCTTTTTACAAAAACTTACCTTAGTAAAGAACAGAAATTCAAACAATATACACATAAAGACATCATATAACAATGACCCTATATACAAATTCAAAAATTGAATACAAATCTTAGAAAATTTCATAAGAACCCTTTGTTGTAGTAGTAAAAGTAGCCAATTCAATTTGTTGGCTCTAAATTAATATCGAAATCTGATATTTCAACTATACTACCACTTTTTATTCCTCTTTCTCCTCTAAGAGCAATAATTGTTGCCCTTCATAAGTCAAATCTTATTCTTTTCCTCATAAAAGTCATCGCCTTACTGTATCTTTGATCTGATTTTCTAGACATTCTATCAGCTAACTTTTTGAAGAACGTATTAGCTTAGTAAATAAATACCCACAGCCACCTTTTCCCACTAGTCACTACTGATAGTTACCACTCTTGAGGACGTACAACATGCCGTTTTCGTTGCCCACAGCCACCTTCTCCCCACAGGGACTAGCTCCCACCTTGGTGTACTGCCGTGCACGGTGGTTGAAGAATGTATAAATACATTCCTCCTTTTCTAGGTCGAATAACCTGGGTAGTGGTGGTGTTGTAAAGATAAATCGTGTCAGTGAAAAAATGCACTTCTTATTTATAATATTAGCAGATTTGAAAGTGAAGCAGAACACCATCAATCATCATATACTATCACGTGACGTCATAACACTATCACGTGACGTCATGACACCACTCACTTGATAGTGCCGTCAGCAGAAGAAGTGTATATCTCAGTCTCCCCCCTGACCAGTGCTCCTCCGTTGACGTCCTCCTTGTGCCCCTCCAGCTTTAACACATCCTCTCCTGATTCTACGTCGCACACGTAGACTGAGTCTCCAGCTACAGGTAGGTTGTTATGTAAAGAATATCATCTATATGGTACTTTTTACTTAATTAAATAATTTATCAATTAAGTTTTTTTTAAAGCGGTAAATTTAGTTATTTATCGAATACTTCAACCAGTAATGGGCCGCTTAACAACTAATCTTAGAAATAAAATCAACGACCGATCAACAAACCAAACATAAGGCTTCCTTAAAATATCGATTTGTTTTCTCTGTAATAAATAGTTCAAAATTAAACGAACCAGAGTAAGCGAGCCTGTCTGAAAGTTCCATGAAGCAGACCCACCAGCAACCACGTGGTATCGAGAAGAGCACCTCACATGTGGTCAGAGTGAACACGTGGGTTCCATTGTGACCACTCACCACTCCTCTCATGTTGTCTGAGTGTGTGTCACACGCAAACATTCTCCCTCCGTACTTGCTAATGATGGTTATTACTTTATTAGAGGTTAGAGTTCATATTAGAGGGAGGTTAGACTTCTTAATAGAGAGGTTAGAGTTCATATTAGAGGGAGGTTAGAGTTCTCATTAGAGAGATACGCTTGAAGTTTAGAGTAGCAATGATGATGTTAACCTCATTCTATAAAGCAGCAAATTAATCCACATATCAAATATAGCGGTGTGCTATATAGTTATATCAACTGGGTCAGCTGTTTATCGAGTTATCGTCAATATTCGGTTAAACCATGTAAATTATTATAAGGTAATTAGACTTACTCGTATTTGTTGATTTCCTCAGCGGCATCAAAATCAGATATGTCGTAGACAAAAGCATAACTGCTATCAAGCTTCATATTCTTACACTCTGTCACCAGCAGCTTAGATTCATCTCTTGTCACAGAAAAGTCAGACAAGGACCCGTCAGGATCCGGCAATACTGAGGAATTAAACTTTTTAAATTCAATTCTTTGACTTGCAATTAATGCGCCTAAGAAATAATTAAAAGCTAACGAGCAATTATTGTTAAAAACAAAACAATATTGGACTATTAATTATGTTCTAATTATGTTCTAATTTTACTCTGATTATGAACTGTTCTGATTATGTTCTGATTATGTTCTGATAATGTTCTGATTATGTTCTGATTATGTTCTGATTATGAACTGATTATGTTCTGATTATGTTCTGATTATGTTCTGATTATGTTCTGATTATGTTCTGATTATGGTCTGATAATGTTCTGATTATGTTGTAATTATGTTCTAACTATCTTCTAATTTACTCTGATTATGAACTGTTCTGATTATGTTCTGATTATGTTCTGATAATGTTCTGATTATGTTCTGATTATGTTCTGATTATGAACTGATTATGTTCTGATTATGTTCTGATTATGTTCTGATTATGTTCTGATTATGTTCTGATTATGGTCTGATAATGTTCTGATTATGTTGTAATTATGTTCTAACTATCTTCTAATTGCTTCGTCTCACCCTCAAGATATCCGCCCACATTAAGATCTTCAAAGGAGAACCTTGTAACGCCCACCCTTCCTGAACCATACACCCACTTCTCGTCACAGGTTAAAAACCCCTTTGTACGGTGAAACCCGTCAAATTCCTTCGAGATCAACAACTCTAAACTTTTAGCATTCCATTTTCTTATTGCTTCGTTAGAGATCGTGAAGAGGAAGTCACCATCTTTACAAAAGCCAGTCCAGAATACCTGTATTAAAGTAGTGGTTACTTAGTGGTTACTTAGTGGTTATTTAGTGGTTACTTAGTGGTTACTTAGTGGTTAGTTAGTGGTTAGTTAGTGGTTACTTAGTGGTAACTTAGCGGTTACTTAGTGGTTACTTAGTGGTTACTTAGTGGTTACTTAGTGGTTACTTAGTGGTTACTTAGGGGTTACTTAGTGGTTACTTAGTGGTTACTTAGTGGTTACTTATTGGTTACTAAGTGGTTACTTAGTGGTTACTTATTGGTTACTAACTGGTTACTAAGTGTATACTTAAATAGTCTCAAACCTTCTCGTCGATATCCTGGCCAGCCTTAGGGACCCCATCCTCAGGATTTGGTATATTGAACATTAGGGTAGCTCTTCCTCTGTCTGACGTTAACGCTTGTTGGGTACCTGTTGCACAGTGTTACAGTTGAAAATATGTGCGATCAGCGATGTGCAGTGTTAAACATATAATTGAAAAGAGATTAACATCAACAAAAATGTTCAACCAACTTCAACTTTTAAGTTATTAAGTTACAATCATCACCAAACTCCCGAAATGACAAACCTGGAACGATTTTAATCTTGTTGATACAGTCAGCGTGTCCCTTCATCTCATCAACGAAGTTTCCCTCAAAGGTGTACAATCTGAGATTTTAGGGTAGACATTAAAGTGGACTTTAGAATAGATTTTAGGATAGACACTAGGGTCAACTTCAGGGTCAATTTTATGGTGGATTTTAGGGTGAACCTTTGGGTAATATTTAGAGTAGAGATTGATATTTGATGGAAACATTGGGGTGTACTTTGGGTGACATACCCGAGACTTTGGGTCACAATCACATACCTGAGACTTTGCGTCACATACCTGAGACTTTGGGTCACATACCTGAGACTTTGGGTCACATACCTGAGACTTTGGGTCACATACCTGAGACTTTGGGTCACATACCTGAGACTTTGGGTCACATACCTGAGACTTTGGGTCACATACCTGAGACTTTGGGTCACATACCTGAGACTTTGGGTCACATACCTGAGACTTTGAGTCAGATACCTGACACTTTGGGTCACATACTTGACACTTTGGGTCACATACCTGAGACTTTTACTGTCTGGCTCTGTGGACAGCACATAACATCCTGTAGGATCGTAGCTCACGGACCAGTTCCCACCGAATGCCCAACCACTGCTAGTGGTATCGGTGATAGTCCTGCAATTTATTTTAATAACTTAATATGGGGCTCACAAAATGATTTAGTTACTGACCGACTTACAATCGCATGAAGGTGCAAAATTGGTTGATTATATTAACTGATAAAGCATTGATTGATATAAAGAAAATAATAATGACCTGACTAAAGTTTGACTGTCCACATTCCATTCTCTGATCACGAGATCGTTAGATCCCGACAAGATAGTAGGTTCAGTAGGATGAGATGCCACAGCATAACAGCACCTCCCTGCTCCAGTTAACTTTACCACCTCCTCCCCTCCCAGGTCGAACCCTCTCACCTCCCCTTTATTCGCAGCAAAGATCCATTCTCTACAGGACAGGTAGCAGTAGTCGTAACAAGGGGCTCCTACATCCCACTTCTCGGAAGGTACTAGAATATCACTGTGGTCCACTGGGAACAGGGCTATACCACCTGAAGTGTTATGAACGTCCCAACGGATAGCTTTCCTTGCATGTCCAGTTCCTGTAGCAATAAAGGAACCAATGTGTTGGATCCACACCACGACATCATCCATTTTAAAGTCCTCACCAGTTTCAGCTATCTTGGATCCTGTACCAACGTCCCATACAGAGATACCCTCACTACCTCCGTTGTAAACTCTCTCGAAGTCTGGACTCAGCGCTATAGAGTAGGAGGATGTCTTCAGACGATGTTGGATCTCCCCAGAACTTTGGTCGAGAATCAAGGCTTCATCCCCGGCTGCTATGGCAACTATATCACCTGAGGGAGTACTTGCTGCAACGTCCATCCCACACGTCCTTCCCACGGAGGTGTATTTGCAGACCATGGAGTCCTCACCAGCGGGTATGTTCTCCCAGATGAGCGGGTAACCAACTTTAGAGGGAGGGGTATCTAACTTGTTGGTGTCTTTAGTAACCCACGATGTAGGGGCTTGTGTGACCGCCATGTTCCGAGCAAATTGGGGGAACTCCTCAATCTTAGCTGCATACATTTGTACAAACTTCTTCCATTGAGTCAGAGCTGTGGAGATCTCCAGGTTAACATGGTTCTTGAAGCACCGCTTTATAGCTAGTTCATACTCGTCCATCAGATCTTGGCTCTGTCTGTAAAGAATCCTTTCTCTTACAAAGTAGATATTCCTTAGGGTAGAATCTAGAGCTGTCAGTTTGTCAGATTTGGGAGTTGCTTTCAGTTGGTGGTACACAAGCTGTTGTAAAACATGTTCGTAGTAGGCAGCCGGATCCTCCTCGGGTTCCTCGCAGAGTTGTGATTCAGTACAGGAGAAGAAGAAATCAGACAACCATTGGTTGGTTTCAAGAGCAAAATCGTCGTTCAGGAACTTGTCTTTTATTGTGTATTTCAGTTGGTCGTGGAAGAACCTTAAGTATCCACCCCCTCCTGCAGCGAGGAAGCTTGCTAAGGAATCATAGATACGACTGAAGGAGGAATCATAAAGATATTCCTCGTCCCCCCTGTCCCTTTCTTCTTTGAAAGCAAGCAAGTCATTGATTTCATTCTCAAGTAGACCATCCTTGGAACAACAAATCAATCCTGCTACATCCTCAACGAACATCTTTCCATATTCTTCCGACCAGTCATCAAGGAGAAAACTGAACAACTCAGTGATTGTGGTTGGGAAATCTTTTATATACTGACTCACCCGCTCGAAGATACCAAACTTCCGGAGCGCTTCACAACAGGCAATCAAGTAGAGTGGAGAAGCGCTCTTTGATAGCAAGACCTCCATTTGGTTTCCTAGCAGAGAGTCGTCATAGGTTGTCAACTTTTTGTTGAATCTAGCCAAAGTAGCAGAAACCATTCCTTCCAGATCATCGTCAGACATTTGCAGAACTGGGGTCAGCACAGCATCGGGATACGCTTCTTGTGCATTATCAAAGGTTCCGTTTTCCTTGTTAAGAGTGGAGATCATGCACCTAACATTCGACGTTGTCTCCTTGCGAGGTAACCACCACATGTCCCACGCCTTCATTCCTTCGTGAAACTGATTGACAGCATCTACAACTATCAGGAACCTTTTGTTAGAGTATTTCTCAGCGGTGGCAGTCAAGAAGTTATGGTGCTCGGCTCTCAGATCAGACGCAGATTGAGGGGGATCCGAGGAAATGTTGATTTCACCGTTGCCCCTCCGAAAGTCTCTTAAGGCCCACTGCAACCTCCTCAGCATCTGTTCTAGAACATTAGAGCCAGGGCAGGAATCTACCACGTGGATAAAAACAAAGTTGCCACTTTCACGACTGGGCTTGGTAACTCCATGGGTAACAGCAGCAAGCAGACCCGATTTACCGCAACCTGGTTCTCCGTGAAGGATCATAACATTTCTATCATCAACTGAGGTTTCACAGTGGACAGTGCAGTCTTCCACTAATGCTGTTCTTCCAACAAATGTCGAGGCCTTTAATTGTATCGCATTTTCATGTTGTACCGTCTCCATCTGGAAATCATTGATGCTAGAGGAATCAGACTTGAAGTTCTCTTGAATAGCTTCAATCAAATCCTTCTCAACCTGGTCCTCAAATGCCTCTAAAGATGAAGTGTAACCCACCCCAAAACTTTTAGCACCCTCTCTTTTGCAGGTGAACTTAGCACCACCATGTTCGTAACTAACCTCAAACTCGTTCCATTTCACATGGGGAATGTCTTGAAGATACTTGTTAAGATTTTTCAGATCATTAGCAAATTTACCAGCTTCTTCCGTTTTACTGTACTGGTATTTGGAATCCTCAGGTATCTCCTCGTCAGCCTCTTTGTACTCGAAATCAAACACCCACCTCATATTCTTCTCGATATACTGTTCCTCCAGGGGACCTTCGTCAATATTCCGTTGGTAGAAAAACACGGTAGGTGAGGACAGCATTTTGGATGGATTTTGGACAGCATGGATGCATTCTAAAGACGTTATACTCACTCCAGTTCTACCGGAACTAGCAAACTCATCAATCCATTTGAAGAGGTCAGGATTCTCAAACCCATGACTAGGCATCATGTCATTCTGAACCCATCCATATCGCGAGGTCCTCAGACCCAGGAACCATGGGGTCTGCTGTGGAGTTAACCTGCACTTATCAACCTGGTTCAGACACGTCTTCTGGATTGTGTGGCAATCTTTGCTCTCCTCCGCCAGGACTCCCCACCTTAGATCCACTGGTACTATCCGGATAAACCTATCAGCCATTTTACGGTTAATACTCGGTATTACCCGTTTAACTAACACATCTCGTTCTGCCTGGGTGTCCACGAATGTGGATGATATAAACAAACGGATTTCGACCCAGTTTCCCACTTCTTGTGCCATTGGTTCTTCGGTTTGGCTTTTTGTTTTGGTTACTGTTTGCCTCAGCCATTCTTCCAGACTCACCATCTCCTGGGTTATATGTGGAGCTGAAGGACACAACTAGGAACCGACTGGATATCTGGCTGAATCGGATCCAGCTGGATATCCGGCTTTGATATCCGGTTCCGGCTCCTGCTCCGGTTTCAAAATGTGTTGCCAGATTTTTGCCGGATATTTCTTTTAAAAAATGTATTTCTAAAATCTTGAAATGCATAGTTTTGTCACATTTTAACTCGAAAATTAAAAATTGTTTGACTAGATGCGGGGTTTGAAAAACCGAAAAATATTTTCGGCTAGTAATTGACAGGGTATAGTAGCATAAAACGTGTAGAAAAGTGGTTTTGATAAAACTTTGAAATTATTTTGACTTTTTGCAAATTTGAGGTCTGGTAAAAATGATCCAGTGATAAAATATGCTTGCATGCTAATCAAGGTACTGTTGTGCCCTAAATCGGGAACTACTGTGTCGCTTAATTGGAACCGCTTGCATGCTAAAACGGTACAATTGTACACTCCTTGGCTTAGTTGTATTGTTGTAAACAACCAACTTGAAATGTTGGGAAAGCACTTCAATTATCAAACCAAATGTTTCTAGAAACTTCGGAGTTCCTAGCTCAAAACGCTCTCACTTTATGGTGACAATAGCGAAAAAGAGGGAGTGACGAGCCATAACTGCTATAATTTTGCTATATTCTCATTGAAAACTGCTGGGACTTCATCAAGATTTAAGTATTATAGTTTTACACCTAGCTGGAGCTGAATCCCACTATTCCTACGGAATTTTGGTATTTTTTGAGTACTATTATACAAGACGTGTTCCTGGACTCCCTATAGATGTGAAATCCGCAAGGCACAGTAATGGCTGGCCTCCCGTAAAAAGCAAAATTTGACGGACAGGAATATCGACAGAAGAAGTGGAAGAATTATGATATATTAGTTGTTCATAACTATTATATTAGTTGAACTCTATAATAGTCATAACTAAAACAAACTGGAATACTTCTAGTGTGTCAGTGTGGACCACAGTGTGGCACTTACAGTTACAGTTACGGTTGTTTGATAAAATTTCATATTCTTGTCAATATAATTGTGACAGCTTATTTTTTAACAATCTTATAAATGACTCCTGATTGTTCAATAAACAAGTTCGACAGATCAAGATATTGAAAATGAAAGCAGAACGGATCAGTGAACGAACCAAAGACCCAATCGGCTCCCAGTTGGTGAGTTGGCTCCTAGTTTGTAAACAACAGAATGAATAACAGGAAAATAAACATTAAAAACAGTGTGATGCTGCTTAAATATCAGTCACTGCTGTCTACCAGTTAGTGACTGTTCATATGTAAGCTCTCCTCCAAAATCCAAATATGTACTTGGGTTTATATACGCGCAACAATTTCGTCATCAGACGAAAGTTAAGAACTTTTGAGTTGCGGAGTTATTAGAAAAATTCCGGTCCTCAATAAATTGCGGTGACCTTGATCTGCTTATATCATAATTGAATTTATTCTGCTCGAGATCAACGATCTGAAGATCTGACAAAGTTTTCCGATCTTCTTTTGCGGAAACCTTATAATTACGGTGCAAATTACATTTAGCAAGACGCTACCACGATCTAATTAGTCAAAATAACATAGTTAACAAAATGCAGTAAGAAAGAGTAAACTTGTGACGGCTCCCCAGCTTGGTTATTTGCATATCTTTTAACTTGTGTATTGTCAAGGGGCATTATTAAAATTACACTGTTGATATAAAACACTGCCCTAATAATGAGAGGTTCATCATTGAATAGTTAGATAACCAGACTGGCAAACAAATCGCAATTGTGCCCCTAATCGGGAACTATTGTGCTTTGATATGATAATTGATATTCAGACTTGCATGACGAAAAGGGGAAAACTGTGTCTCACACTTGTAATCGCACTCAATGCAGGCTTGGTAGGATATGCCAATTGCCTTTCATTCCTGATAATAACTTGTCTAATCTTGTTACTTCTTGTTTACTCTGGTTACAACGTGTAATATCAAATCGAGTACAAACTAAAAAACAACTACACGCTATTACCGAGTAAGCAATATTAATGTTAATTGTACAAATGGTAGGGGAAGTAGGGGTCAAATGAAACGGGTACAAACTTTTGGATGCAACATCAATACCATACATTGGGATATACTCATATTGGGTACACAAGCTCTTAAGAACGTTCTAAACACTATCAACCCACTTCATTCATTAAAATTCAATAATTGTTTATTTAATTAGATGTTTCATTTGACCCTAAGAATTACTGCATTTCAAATTACCAGGGTCAAATGAAACAGGCCTCCTCAGTGTCAAATGACTTCCCCTACAGGTTGAGAACTGTAGGGGAAGTAGGGGTCAAATGAAACGGGTACAAACTTTTGGATGCAACATTAATACCATACATTGGGATATACTCATATTGGGTACACAAGCTCTTAAGAACGTTCTAAACACTTCATTCATTAAAATTCAATAATTGTTTATTTAATTAGATGTTTCATTTGACCCTAAGGGGTACTGTTTCATTTGACCAAATCGTATATGGTGAGAGTTTTTCAATACAGCATGTTAATTGTATGTTCCTATGCTTAAAAACCACTAGAATACTTAAATACGATCACTAATGTTGAAGATTAAATCAAGAAACATTCGGTAAATGTAATTGGTTCAAGCACAGAGGCAACAAATGTTAAGCGCAACATTCTAGGGAAAGATGAAGTGGAGAGGAAGTAGATTGTAACTCTATAATCAACTTTTCTCATATATTCTAGGAAAGGTATATGTAATAGGTAATTCAATAGAAGTCGATCCCGCCTGTTTTAAGCCATGACAAGTTTATGGTACTAGAGATATAGCCGTGTTTCATTTGACCCTGGTGTTTCATTTAACCCCAGCTTCCCCTATCCGAAGTTTAAAATTTTTGCAGCTCATTAAAAAAGAATTCGTCCGGAACGATTTTTCGAAAAAAAGATTTCTTACTCTGCAGTCTGCACTTATTCCATATAAAATGTACAACAAAAAAACATCACCAAAAGAATGCTAACTGGCGGTAAGGGGATTGATCCTCAAGAGTGTACCGTCTATTGAAGGTCTATTGTTTTTAAAGTTAAGAACTGTAGGTATTTCAAGAATTCGTAATAATAAGATCATTGTTTATCCATTAGTTTGCAACACAAATTCTTGTGTAAGACACTAAGACTGCTCTCCCTCAATTCCTCAAGTAGACAATAGACAATATTATAACAGTAACTTAAACTAGTCAACTCCAATAATTATTTAAATTGGCGAATTAAACTAATTAATTGCGTGGGAACTAGGTTCAATTGGGTTCAGTTGTCGGTCACCCTTCATAAAAGCTATACACACTGATGATGTTCACTGCTTAGGCATATAGCAGTAGACATGATAAAATATCAAATCAATAAGCAGTACCTATACTGCTTATTGAGCAAACAAACTTCTCGCCCCTAAAACATTTTGGCAAAATAGGGACAATCAACGTGATTTGAGCGAATTTAAAACAATAAAAACGAACAAGGGAAAATACCTAAGAGTTCACTAGTATTACCACCTAGTTTAATGTCATTAGGAGTGGTGAAAGACACTGTTTTGTATTACATTATAGTATCTAGAGTTTTAATGGCGATTAAATTATATGATATACCGCGAGGAAAAATTGCAATGTTTATACCTGAGTCCCTGAACATTGCTCAGAGTGTTAATGTTTGATGGATCCTAGGAGAAGGCTCAGGGCACGCTTTAGCGTTTCCGGGAGAGATTACCCAGCTGGGTTTGTTAGAGTGAGCATTATGTTAAGCTACTTACACAATATAGTTAATATGGTCTTAGCATAATTTAGGCTGTAGCAAACGATGTGAAGAATGCACGCATTAGAGATTTTATCCAAAAACATTGGCAGAGTGGAAAAAGAATGCAAGCGATGTGAAGAATGCACGAACTAAAGATTTGATCCAAACACAATTTGACTTACATTGCACAAATTTGTGCTCCGAAATAAGTATAAACGTGTTATTACTCGATTAGTCTATATAACTTTGTTTTGCACGGCGATCAGTGGATTATTGGCAGGAATATCAAAATACGAACAGTCCCTCCTCCTCATTCTTAGGAGGAAATAAATACAAAATGAGGCACAAATAAAGTAGCTACTCAGCACAAGTACACGGTTACAAGCAGAAGGGAAGTGTCTAGAAACAACACTATATTATCTCTTCCTGTACCAGAGTAACCTGCTGTAACGGTGAGAATGATATACTGTTGGTGCTCGTGTTATTGTTTTTTTTGTTATCTCAACACTTATTTTACTTCGGACAGTCCAACAGCCACATTGTTACACAAGTGTGTAACCAGCCAATTACAGGAAGCCGAAGGATTCGATTATACATTAGGCCAGTGACGGTTAAGGTAGTGTGTACCATACTTTCTTCGCCCGAGACTTTGCTGCAATGTGCAGCTCCTCATTTAACCCTCACACCCGATTTCTCGAGTATTTGGCTGAGTGGACCAGGGGGCTGCATAGACCACTCAGGATCCTTAGCTGAGCGTCGACGACGCTCACCTCACGGCTAGTGACAGAGTCGGGAATCGAACCTGGTACCTCAAGCAATACCAGGCGGATTAACCAACTGAGCCACTAAGCCGTAAGGCGGATTAACCAACTGAGCCACTAAGCCTATAAGTAAATAAAACTAAAATTAAACCTTTAAGTAAAACTACAAATCAGAATCATCGACCACCGTTCAGTAGCATCGACAAAAATTTAAGTCTGAGGCATGGTTTATATCACAAATAACTTACTAATTTATATATAAGTTATGTATGATAAACACTATGCCCCAACTACTACAATATATAATATAGTTCATCGAGCAATCATCAGTAAGGCCTTGTGCATGTGTGAAAGGTCTGCGACACTTTTGGCCCTTTTAATTTCACTTTCTGACTATACGAAATTAAGATTTGAACAAAACACTGCCGAAAGAAATGTGCATCGAAAATGTTCAGGACATAAAGGTTTAAAAAAACGTTCTTTTGTTTCAAAGCAAAAATTATCATTTAATTAAATAATAAAAAATCGCGAATTATTTTGCAATTATGTATGTCCAAATTATACTGTAGTGAAATAAGATCCAG